TACAATGGGCCTGCAACATACTACAACAGATACGGTATGAACAAAGAATGCCAGCAGATTGGGAGCATAGTGTTATAGTGACAATTTACCAGTAAAAAAGGTATCCTAATGTGTGTTGATTATCAAAGTATTCTACTAGAGTACCTCATAAAGGTCCTGGAAAGATCAGCTGATGCAAAGGAGGGAAACCATCATGAAAGACAGTATGCACTTCATATTTATGCTAGGAAAATTCATCACAGACACAATCTTTATAGAAAGGCAGGTGCAGAAAAGAATTTGAAACACAAGTTGTACATTATGTTTGTGGACCTGGAAAAGACACATGATTAGGTGCTATGGGAGTCTGTATGTATATGAAAAGGAAAGGTGTATGTGAGAGTCTAATAAAGTTCATACAAGTAACACACAGTGAAGCAGTCAAAACAGTGCTTGGAAGGACGGCTCCTTCAATGGCCATTGGATTACACCCAAGATCAAACCAAAGCCCCTTCCAGTTCATAACTGTGATGAACATAACAAGTGAAAAATGGCAACATCACAGGCATTGCTGTATGCTAACAACCAAGTCACCATGGCAGATACAGCAGAGGTACTCCAGCAAGCATGAGCAAAATGGTAGGAACATCTCCAGTATGGGGAGCTGAAAGCCAACATTCAAAAACAGAGTAAGTTATGTCAGACACAAGTAATAGAAAACTAAGTGTTTCAACAACAGAGAGCAGAGCCCAGTACCTCTCTCACACAAAGAAAGCAAGTCACTGGGCACCATCATAAGCAATAAAGGAGTTTGTGAAGAGGCTCTCAAATAATGAACAACATGAAAAAAATGGAAAAAAAAAATGAGTAGTTAACCTGCAGTAAGATGCCAATTACGCCAAGGATCAACTTATACAAAACAATCAGGTGTGTGGCAGAACCCTGAGCCATTAGAAAAAAGGAAGAGAAGATACTAGAAAGCACATAGCTGAGGATATTGAGATGAATTGCAAGTGTCAGTCTGGAAACAAGATGAGAAATTATGATATCAGAGCACGCTTAGGAGTACAAAAAAAAAAATAATAAAAAAAAAATCACTGAGAAGGTCAAAACCTAAACTGAAATGATTTGACTACATACTGAGGGAAGACAGAAAGACTACTGTTCAAATGATCTATGAAAAGACCCTGGCTAGCAGTAGGCCAGGGGATGACCCAGACTAAAGTGGACAGGGGACACCAGGAGAGATGATATCCGAGTATCTGTCTAGCAAATATAGTAAATAACAAACGGAGTGCAACAATCTGCACAATGAGGTGGGGACCACAGCCATGAAGAAGGAAGAGAAGAATGATGACTGGT